CAGGAAGAGATGATGAGATTACTCCAGATGTTATGACATCAGACAGACACTTTATGGAGAGAAAAGAGTCATAGTCAGTGACTAGACCACATTCCTGAGTGGCAGAGAAGACAGAACTGTTGAGAGTGACTGAAAGACATTAAATAGTGAAAAATATTATCCTCAAATGCATTCTGCCTTCTTGCTTGGCTTGTGACTGTAGATTTTGATTTTAAAATTTGCTAGAAAATGCTACAGAAAAAGTAATTCTCAAGAAAATAAACTAACACAGTTCACACTATTACATTCATGACACACTTTTCAAAGTACAGTTTCTTCCTATGTTTTTGCTCTGAAACCTGCTAGACTTTAAGTGGATTATTTATATAATCATGCAGTTTAAACTGTTACAGGTCACGTGTTTTTACAAATCTATCATCTCATCAGCGCAGTGTAGAACTTTAAAAGCCAATTGAATTTTACCTTAAGATCAATAATTTAATAAGGAGCATAGAATGGGAATATTTAGGCTGCTTTACCACTGTTGTCACTTTTCCAGACACAATGTTTAGGTATGACCTATCTCATTTTTTTGTCTCCTTTTAAAGTTTTGCTACCGTCTGCATTCCAGCTTCCAAATTAACATGCTGTTCCTTGAAAATAGCAGAAAAAGCATCTACTGAGCACTAAACCAAAGTGGTGATCAGTATAGCACTGTTCACTCTAATTTGGGCACTATCTATTAAATGCAAATAATTATGTGATTCCACTAAAAAGTATCTAAGCTTTTAATTCCTCCTTTTACAATAAAAATAGAAGTAAATATGTTAATAACTAAGTTTAAGTTTAGCTCTTCTTTAACTTTTTACACAAGTAATGGTCCAAAAGGAGCGCTGAAATAACTACAGTTGTAAGAAGTTTTACATCCAGTTTGGCTCTCTGAGCCACAGCAATACTCATAAGCAAGAAACAAAAGGTCTAAGCGCTGTTCTGCTTTCATCAGTGTGGATTTTTGTAAAAGTCATGCCAAAATTCCCAACACTACTTTCATTAGCCAGTCTGCGACAAATTATGTGCCCTTTAATAAAATTGTTGTTTCAGACACTGGCAATAAATTTGGTTGATGATCTTTTCCCTTAAACTAAAATGAAAATTGCATAATGAGGTAAAAACTCCACAACTTTTGAAAAATTTACCATGCCACTAAAAGTACATACACAGAATTTTAAGCAAAAGAGTAATTGTGCTTTAAGAAGTAACCAGCTCAGGTTTATCAGCTGCGTATGTTTGTGATCCTAACCTGGTACAGTTGTGAAGTAAATCCCACCATATCTACTGTTTTAGGGTATCTGTCTTACCTGCCATCACTTGTTTTAGGCATCAAGCAGATTGTTCATACAGACAGCAATAGGTCTGAATCAACATTTCTTACTTTTTTTCTTTTTTAGCTCAACTAGACATGTAATTTCTTCTACTACTTCTCACTGTTCTACAACAGTGTTTCTAGGATTATCATATTATGAACATTCATAGCAAACAGTACTGACATATTTCAGCAGTAAAAAAACCCCAGTTATGCATATTGCATTTTATATGGCCAGAGAACCTAAGCATTTCTTTTATGTCACGCATAAATCAGAATTAATATTAATTCTCATAGATGGTAGCCTAGCTTTTCTAAGTTCACTGAATTTTCAGTTTCTGCCTGCATGTAATAATAGTCTCTGCACGAAGGTACCACTTTTAAAATCTAGCTGTAATGTACAGTTCACAGAGTCCATTGTTAAACAGCGCTTGGACCCAGCACTGTCTTTTGGACATATGAGAGGAACGCAGTAAGTAATGGAGAAAGAAAGAAGAATTTACATTACTTTTACTTACAGTAAGCTTTGGACAAATGGCTCCTATTGCTCAAATTTGCAAAGCAAAACACTTTAAAAAGATCTTTCTTACCTGCATTATAGATTAATATTTATTTTGCTTTCCTTTTATCTGTGACAATAATACTTGTCTAATCAATTTTGGTTTCAATTTTTTAATGCTATAGCAGCACAGCAAAATTCTGGTTGAAGGCTTCTGTGAAGACTGTGGTTGTTTATTATGTGCTAAAACTATCTTAAATATTTGCACAAATTTTAAAATGTCAACAAATAAATTGGACTAACTGCTGAATCATCAACATTTTTTCCTTCTTACAAGTAAAATATAACTTAAATTATTTTGTTTTAATTAAAAAAAAAAGAATAATGCTTCTTGCAAGAAAAATATCTGCACAGATCCTTCAAGAGAAACAGTAATTTCAAATCATACCAGCTTGAAAGAGCTAGATTGACCAATGTTTATTTATAAAAACCTTACTGGATTCTGCTGCCTTACAAGCTTGAGTGGATGAACTAGTTGATGATAACTAATGTCCTCTTGGGAGAATTATTACTATGATACAAATTCCAGGAAATAGATAAACAAGAAATTTATAGCGCCTTTAAAAGAACTCTATTCTGTTTCTTTTTATATGAAAGTTAAAACATTTTAAAAAGTAATTATAGTCTTGTATGTTAAAACTTCTGTCGAAAAATCTTCAATGATTAATAATAATTGTCAAAAAGAATAATGGAAACGATATGGCAGGCAAATACTCCATTCATTAGCTTAACCTGTTTGGGAAGCTGGAAGAGGTTATGACAAGCTAAAGGAAGATTTTTTTCAAGTGCACAAATGTAACCTGTTGGGATTGAAATAAATTCTCCTTCTGAATTTTGTAGATTTATAGCACTTAGTGCAGAAAAATTTATGAGCCCCAGTGAGTGTATTTTAGCTTGACATGAGCTTCATGTTACCATAGTTCACATTTAATTATGGAAACTTTTTCAAATAATTTTTATTTGTCATATTGAGTAAGCAACTTCCTAAAATCTTTAAATAATTATCTGTGTTTCCCCCTCAAAGGCTTCAATGATTTAAAGCATGAATTATCATGGCACTGCTCAGAATTGTAATCCAGATTAGAAGTGTGAGGACACCAGGAACAGATTTGCTCTTTAACCATGAGATATGGTCACAGATGACAGGAATTGGACGGGCCCAGCAGGCACACAGGACCCATGCACCTGCCCTCTTCTGATCGGAGCGTGGACCAGAGTAGCTGACATGAGAAAACCATTCTTTTATCTCCCCTAGCTAATCTGGACTTTGAGTTCAATTTTTAGCTCTAGAAGTCAGCATTATCAAGTAATATGCAGACAGAGACGCAGACTTCAGCTCCCTGTGTTAAACATAATGGATCTGTTCAGACTTTTTTCAGGTTTTCATTTTAGCACAATAAAGTGGCTCATCAGCTAAGAATTCAAAATACATAATAATATCACAATGTATAAGCAGATTTTAACCTAGTAATTTGTTAAAGTGTGTTCCTTCCTACTCCCCTGTATGCTTGCAGCCTGATATCTATTAACTCTTAATGAAGGCTGTGATTCTATGAAAGGAGAGATAACACCCCAGCAGGTGAGTTTTCTGTTGGTGCTCTACTGAATCTTCACCTCTGAATGTAGAAATTGATCTTCTGTCTACCACAGTAGAAACTTGTGGGAGACAATTTCTTGCAGCCTCTTCTGTGATGATTGCTGTTTGCTTATCTCTAGCGCCAGATAAAGCATTGCTGCCAACAGATTCTGTCAGCTTACATATCAGAAGTGTGTGGAGGTTCAGGAGGACTTCAGTGTGTAATTGTGCAGATTTATAGCTTTTTTCTTTTTTTTTTAAACATCTCATCAAACTTAATCTGCCACCAAGATAAAACAACACACAATGCTCTCAAAGCATCTTTTAGCTGAGTATCTCACATGGCTATAATATATATTACAGTAAGTAGTAGGCACACTTCTACACTTCTCTAAGCTACTATTAACATGTAAATTAAACCTATCACCTGAAACACCAGAACTGATATTTTTGTTAAATGCCCTACTTAGAGACATCTTTAATGGAATTAATTTACCTTCTTTAACAATGTTCATAGTGAATTATTCACATTGTTCTTTTACTATCAAAAATCTTTGATGTCATTGACTAGAATCCTAGTTTCAAAAGTCTCACTGGTTATCTCCAAGCCTTCCCTCCTGTGCAGAAAGCCTCCTCTATGACACTTTCTCACATTGCTCTTGAAACCTCATCTGCCTGGAATTGTTCAGTATCTTTTTTATCATCTCCACAGCAAGACTATCAGGGTACAACATCCTACTGAATGGAAACTGAAGTACTGGCACAAGTAGAATGAGAAAAAGGCTGCAGAGGCACTAGAGCTGAAAGAAGAGATACAGAATTAAATATAAGCAACACCAGTTCCAGCAGCTGAAGTTTCCTACAAGGTGCTATAGCAACCCAATCTGTAGGTGGCTATGGACCTCCTTCAACACCTCCTGGAGAGATTCTACATTAGAAGATTAAACCATATGCAGTCTATAACATGCTCTGCAGAAAATGTCTAAAGCAGTTGATAGCACAAAACAGAGACTTTAACATCATGGTACATTATGGTACCTTCAAATTTCAAATCTTTTTTTTTTCTACCAGTAGGTACAGAGAAAAAAATATAAAAGTAAAATACAACTACTCTCTTTTAGTATTTATATAAAAACAGCCACAAACAGATATTACCTTCATGAGAAATTTCCTTCCATGGATTAGGTGGATACATGAAAGCAGCATTCTGGATTTGGTCATGTATGTCTTCATCTTCATTGAATGGAAAGGTACCACTGAGGCTTACATAAATGATGACACCCACAGACCACATATCCAGAGATCTGTTATAGCCTTTGTTTCTCAGCACTTCTGGAGCAAGGTACGCTGGTGTCCCTACAACTGAACGCCTAAATGATTTCTCTCCAATGATTCGAGCAAAGCCAAAATCACAAAGTTTTACCTGTTTAAAGAAAAGCGCTACTTAGTAAGACATTATTTTTATTATCAAATAAAAATTAGGAACTTTTATCATGGTTTAGTTGAAAGATCCATCTCCTACTGTTTCTTCAAGGATACCTTTTTTTTTAAATTCCTCTTTGAGAGGAATACCCTGTTCTGGTTTTTAGCTGGGACAGAGCTGGGTTTCTTGTTAGTAGCTAGGATAGTGCTGTGTTTTGGTTTCAGCCTGGGACTTATTATGAGAGAAACTGATAACATATCAGTGTTTTCAAGTCAAAGGACTTCATGTTTTGCTAGTCTACAAGTGCAAGGTTTAGGCAGGGCAAGGAATATTTGAATTAATAAGCTAGGCTGGCATTCGGATATACCAATGGGATATTCCATATCATATAAAGTCATGTTCACAATTCACAATTCACAATTCACAATTCACAATTCCACCAACATGTTAGACCAGATCACCAGTCCGTTGCATCTCCTCTATCCCTTCACTCCATGAGTAAACCACAAGTAAAAGCAGTAACACAGGGCAGCTTAGAATGAGCAAAATGCAGTTTTGGATGGGCCTAACAGCTCAGGTTCCTGGTGAAAGCAGTAATACAAAGTAATACTTATTTATTCATAGCATAAAACCACAGCAAACAGAATTTTCCTACAGCTTTTTCCTAAATCAAGCAAGTTGACAAAATTTAGTTCCTGAATTTCCACTTTCATTTTATTGTGGCCCTAGTTACACCCTGCCTCTCCGCAAACTTCCCTGCCTGACTTCTTCAGAGGGATAGATTTAGCTGCTTAAAAATTCTCACTTAATGTCTCAGTATAGATCCTTCCTTTCCCATTATTGATACTGGTATTATTTACAAATTATCAATAGTGTTCCTTTTGAATATGGGCAGTTGGAGGAGATTATAGATTAACTCTGCAGACAAAAGGTAACAGGAGCTAATATAAATACCTTTTAATGAGAAATACAGCAATGAGCCAGAAAGTATATTTAAATATTCTGCAATCTACCTGATATTTAAATTAATAAAATTAAAGAAGCAGCTCTTGTTCTTCATAAGCTCTACCCTAACTTTCAGAAAAATAACTTTCTGGTGACTGCTTGAAGTTGTCACTTATCTGGACCAAATCAACCAGACAAGCAATTTGTGCTGTAATGGTGACCAAATTAGAAACAATCACACAAGTAGTTATGTCACACACTTGAAACTCTAGTTGAGTATTTTAGGCAAATGACAAAAGGCAAGGATTTTCAAACACGTCTTCTTTGGAAAGTTTTTTGAGTAAGTGATCAGTTTTTTCATCTCTAAAAATTCTGTGTAGTTCCTGGAGGACATATAGAGAGGTCATTAGTAGCATTTTGTTTATTCATAAAATAATAATTGCTAACACTTACTAATTTGAACAATTTCTTTTAAGAAAGGGCATTTTCTACTTGCCTGTGGGAAAGGATCAGCTGATGCCAATAACACGTTTTCTGGTTTGAGGTCACAATGAACGATATTTTTGAAATGAAGATGTCTTAAAGCAACAAGGATCTGTGAAGAAACAAATCATAAAAAATCAGTTTCAAATGTTGTACTTTTTTTCACTTTTATATTGTTTGGACGGTATCAGTGATTATAAAAAAAAAGAAGGCAAAAATGTCAGCTGTTACTTGCTATGTCTCAAGTTTTCTTGATGTTCCACTGTATGGAATATGATTTTTCCCTCTCCAAAGACTTCATATTCTAAACATTTTTTTTTTAAAGTGGGTTCTAAGTACTTTTTAACTTTTTTTTTTTTTTTTTAAATCTTTGGACACAAGAACATATGCAAAATGACCTTCCAGATCTAAATTTACTCCAAAACTTTAACAGAAATATTATGTGTTCCATTTTAAATATTTTCTTGAGGAGAGAAAGCATAAGGAGCCTTGCATATGTTTTTATTTCATTCTGCTCACAAGAACATGGCAACAGAGGGTAACAGAAATTTTTATTCTATTCCTGTGGCTTTAACTCCTTTCCTTGTAGCTGGTCAAGGGCTGACAGAATTTCCCACTATATTACAGCAGTGAATGGTGAGGAGGCTCAGTGAACTTGGGAAGGCAAGGAACCAAGCTGGTGGCAGTTACACTGATGAAAGCCTAAAAACCAGGGAACCTACTACATTCTACTTTGAATAATAAACTTCCACCATAACACTGTTGCTCCTGATCCTTTCTTTTTCCTGACTCATGAAACAGAGGCTGATCTACTCTGAGGGGGCTCACTACTCAATTGTGTATCTAAATTTAAACTACTATTATGGGCAGCCAAAGAAGCAATGTGATAATATGACAATAGGAAGGAAAAAACCAAAACAAAATAAAAAAACCCAGATGACATTGTTTAACATACAGGAAACCAGGCTCATTTAATCAGAGGTAGTGCTGAGATCCAATCTCAGCACAGAAAATACGCACAAAAGTGCATAGCTTGAACTGCAATGGTTAAGCACGGGGCAGTTCAAGAGGCGCAAATGTCTTCGTGTAGGTCTTCAACGGTTTGCTGCTAGTGCTTTGCATCTCTTTCTTCTGCTTAATTCTTCAAGCATATGAGAAACTGTAGCTTGATGGCCCTTCTATCCAGCAGCTAGACAGCTGTATATGTGTCTAGTTCTAGGTCCTCTTAATGGTTTACTACCTATCAGATAATGTACACAAAGCTGTCTGTACCATCCCTGATATTACAATTCAGGCTTTCATAAATCAGACAGGTAAATTATGCCAAAAGCAAAACATAGGAAACAGAGATAATAATTGACCTCAAATCTCCTCCCAGGTCTATAATTAATTTCTTACCTGAGTAATTAAAAACTTTGTTATTCTCTCTGGCAACCTGCCCTTTTCACTTGATAAGATCATCTCCAGCATGTCTCCATGGAGTTTTTCCATAACAACAAACACTCGTTCTGGTGTCTCAAACATACACTCCAGATTTACAACCCCAGGATGATGAAGATTCTATTAAAGATAAATACAGCACTTGAATAACATAGATTTCACCCAACATGATCTGTAGGTTTTATCATTACGTAGCCAGTCTTCAAACCACCCCCCCAAACCAGACAACATCTCAGTCTTTCATAATTTAAACTATGTGCCTAATCTGTAGACAATAGGTATGAAATTTCTAGGGATAGTCTAAGAGAATGGATGAACTTCAAATCAGTTTAACAAACATGTATTTTCCTTATTGTGCTTGGTGCTTTAGAACTCCATAAACTGTAATTCCTAACATTACATTCCCAATACGCTTGGTCTCGGCTGTTTATGCAGATTAAGCAGCAAAAATACTAGTATTTTTGCAAAATACTAGTGATTATAAATTAATAATTATTTTATCCAATATTTATAGTAATGTATAAATGTAGCTAATACAGTGAAAAATAGCATAGAAAAATACCTGTAAAATTGCAACTTCATTACGAAGTTGACTTTCTTGTTTAGTTGGAAACCTTAGTTTGTCAATTATTTTAATGGCAACATCTCTTCCTGTTTTACGATGTTTTCCTGCATTAATAAAACAAAAGGCCTCTATCAATTAACATGATTAATTCTGAAAAATGTTCCACTTTCACTGCATTGTACAAATTACCACAACCAAGTAATTCACACAGTGAATTTGAAGCAAAGTGGGTTTGAAGCAAATTAAGTCATGCAAGTCATTAAAAGTTTTGTCATTTCCCTTCTTTCTACCCTTTAACAAGAGAACTTTTCTCATTATCATCTGATATATCTGTTAAAACATGTAGGAAACATACACATGAGAAAATCAGCTTTGCATTCTTATATATCTACATATATGTGCTTCTTCATATACTTAAGCTGCATTCTCTGCAATTGGAACACTGTAGGCTTAGTCCTTCAATAGTAGTTTCACATCAGCAAATAATGAAATAGGTGATTGCCTTTAGGCATATGAGTGCATTTTCCAGGTTTATCAGACTCTGGCAGAGATTCTTTAGTGAGAAATTTGTAGTTAGTTCTCACTTCGCACTGTCTCAAACAACAGCTGTATCTAAATACACCCCCAAAAACTGCTGAAGAAAAGGAGGAAAAAGGGGAAAAGTGATTAAGAAATTAATAAAAAAGAAACAATTCTAACAAACTACTGAGAAATAAAGAAAAAAGGCTCATAAACACATGCCAAGAAAAACAGCAGGAAGAAGAAATTATACTTTTTTTTCTTCTTCAATTATAGTTCTCAGAAAGAAGAGTTTTCTGCACTTCAGGGTTTTCTTTACTAGAACTTACATAGAATATGAAGCTATAAATATACACTAACTCACTATCGGGTAGAAAACTTCAAATTAAAAAATGGCTTTGTCAACAAAACCAATTTCACTGTTTAATGAATATTGCTTATATAAAACAATGGACAGCTAATTTCTGTAACAAAACATTTCAGAGTCCAAATACTTTCACCATTCAAACAATTTTCTATCTTAGGCATAAGTGTACAGCACACCAAAGCCTTACCTCCATAAACAATTCCAAACTGTCCTGATCCCAACACTTCATCTGGGAAGATTTGGTATACAGTGCTAATATCCTGTTTATATAAACATAACAAATATTAAGTCCCAAGATATGGAAATAAAATTTGTATTTCATTTACTTTTTCTAATGGGAAGTAGCATATATTTTCTATAGTACATTTCCAAATACATTATCTGCCATAAACATTTGTGCAAGTTTTCTTAAAAGCCTTATTAACTGCAATTGCTACAAAAGCCATCTTCCAGGCAAGTAGCCCCTAGCACACATTACACTTTATCTTTGTGAAATCTGAAGACAAACATATATATGGAAATAAAGAGCGTCTTGTTAGCAACATTCTACCTCAGAGTTCCAAGATCCCAGATCTAGGAATTACTGTTTCTTTTTATGAAAAGGGAAAAATTACATATTTTAAATTTTCTTGAAAAAGTTCCTATGCCAGCCATGGAAATGCAAGTGGTTTCTTAGTTTACAGAAAGCTCTGTGAGTACCAGTAGTTCTGGGCTTTGGCTGTTTGCATTTGTCCTCAGAGATGGCTACAATATTCCACCCATGCCAGAGAGAGAGTCTCACATCTCACTATTTCTTAGGGCCTGAACACAAGCTAAAGCACAAGCTCTTATCAGATTCACCTGGGAGACTCAAGCAAACCTCAAATCTTGGAGGAGGCTCAGTTTCATTTTCCTGATACTTAACCAGCAGCACATACAAAGAAGAGTAAAAGAACAAACACCAAGGAGTTCATAAAAGGCTGTCTTGCTTTTTCTTGGGAAACAAATGGGCACATCCCCCCCTAGCAGGCAATCTTTTTCTGGCAAATGCCAGAGCAGCCCCAAAGCTGTACTCATCTGCAGGCAGCCCTGTTTATTTCCTCTGCCCAGAAAACAGAAAAACAGCGGTGTAACTGTTTACCTTGACCACATGCCCTGTGTCTAACAGTCCTAGCACAAAAGAAACTCAGAATTCTTTACATCTGTGTAACAACATATGAAACTCTTCCTTCAGATAGAGTTTCATCTCTGTACAACAGAGAATATATCTGATCTCTCAGAAATGACAGGATATGGTATACTTATCAAGGCCCGTGATTAGCTTTACAAAGTTAAGCTGACAAATTCCATGATCTAATAATTTCTACAGCTCACTTTTCCTTTTGGTAATTAACATCCTGCAAGGATCCGTAGTTAAATTCTGTGTTAAGTGAAATTATCCATATGTAATTCTTGTGTCACAAGAAGAGCTGCCATGAAGATGATTTCTCTCAGAAGTTAGCTAAGCTAATTGTTTATTAATTCCTACAAAGTAAGCGAAAAATGGCTGATGGGAACTCCTCTAACATTCCTCTTTGCAAAAGAGATCAATTACTTTGCAAGCTTAATCATAGCATGTCTAGCACCAGCATCCAAAGAACACTCACCACATTTTCTTGAACTTGGCAGTTTGACACAGAAATACTGATGGATATATCCCCTGGGGAAGAAAGTAAAATATACTTTAGATTGCTGTGCTTTTAGTTCAAACATGCAGTAATAGGAAATGACATTTACATTACATCAATATCTACCGACAGCTCTAGAAATTGGACCAATTACATCAGCTTGTTCATCTACCAGCCGATATAAAATTACACCAGCCCACAAATGTGTGACTTGAACAACAGTTTTGCAGTGTATGGTAAAGAACAGAATTATACATTATTAATTTTTTAATAGTGGAATCTCATAATTCCCATTTTTAAGCTTATTATTGTTTTTTGTGAATTCTTTCTTGTGGCTTCATACCTCATGCATATAACATAACTGCAACTAGAGTAAGCTGTTTTTACTAGCGGATTTAATAATAATTTGTATTTATAGTGTCATCTATAATGTATTTGATGCTATTCACACACATTTCACCCAGCTTAAGAGACATCATTAAAACACATAATGGAAATAAAACCTCGCACTTGTTCTTTAATACAACAAACGTGACATCCAACCTCTACAAATACAGAGCTTAGAATGTTACCATAAGTATTTTGAACTGCAAACCTATTGAGAGGTTCAATAAAACTTGAGAATATGTCTATTGCTAAGTGTATTACACAAAGATGTTATTTTGGGAAGGAAAGAATGGTTCTTTGAAGCATCACCTCCTCTGTCTCCTACCTCTGCCCAGAATTTCTTAGTATGAATTTCAGCCTCATCAAAACCAGTGTTCTCTACTATGAAGCCTATATTATGCACTGAAGACACTCACTGCTGCCCATCAGCACCTTTCCTAATCGCAGTAAGTAGCATGAGTAACTTCTGCCCTGTGTGAGTTATTCCCTTGTCATTTCCTTAGGAATAGACTGGTTTTGGAATGGAATGTATCAGTTATGTAGATGCTTTTATCACTGCCAATTTGTTTTCAAATGTATATGTTTACATGAAAAAAAAGCATGAACAGAGACTTTGAGCAGAAAAGAGAAGGTTACTAACACCCTCATTTCCCACTAGAGTTCATTCTAGAGGTCTCACCTTAATTTTTGCACAAAAAAACCCCCAAAGATAACTACTGATGTGTAAAGAACATTTTCAAACTTCGCAAGAGAAGACAGCTGTCATTCCCAGTTCAGCATTTTAGGTGATTTGTTTAGCTATGCTGGGCTCAAACCAGGGGCACTAGGCAACTAGCCTGATGGAAATGACATCCAGAATTTAACACTATTTTATGCGGGAACCCAGTCGAGAAAGCAAAGGACAGAGCTGATCTAATCTGATAAGCGAGCTGTTGTGCCTGGAGATGTAATGTCACAGCCTGTTGCATCACTTGGTTTCTGAAGGGCTTGCGGTCTCATTAGCATTTTGAGCTGCATTAACAGCATCCAGATGCCAAGTGCTAACGCGGGTGTACGTTGCAACAAAAGGTCTAATCCAAATTGTATAGACATATCCAAATATGCTTTACACTAACTAGACTGAGTACAAGTAGCAGAGCAACGACAGCAGCACAGGCCTAGTAGTGGGGAATTGTTTGCTCTGTGCTACTTTGTTATCAGTACCTGAGCTAGATTTAAAGCAGTTTCATGTTTGGTTTACACAAGCTGTAATCTTTGCTAGAGAATTACCCAAAGATATGTAAATTGGAGGCAAGGATATATTCGGTCCTCTTGGTCATGGATAACATCCATGCCTTGTTGCGCTTAGAAGAGCTGTTTTTCACACTTGAGCTCCTTTGATCTCAGCACAGGACAATGTTTGTGGCAGTTGTACAGCCAAATGTGATGAAAGGGAGCATATCATCTATGCTGCAGTGACCTAAAGAATGAAGATCTGCTCCTGCAGATAGCTAGAAATGTAAATTACAGTCACGATGGGAAATTCATAACTAGGGCTCAGAAAACTTCATGCTTCTGCACAAGGAGGCTTTTACTCATGTCAGCAACACAAATGTGGATGAGATGTCTTATGAATAGAACAAGTATTTGCTCACTAACAAATCTGCATCTTGTATATTAATACAGATGTCCTAGTATAAGCTGGAAACACATGGATGAGAAACTGTGGCATTGAAAATAATATGCAGGCAGGTGATAAGCCATGACAGAATAGCCTTCATTAGTTGTGCAATATTTCCTTTCAACGTGTGCAGAAGATTGAGCAATGTCATTTGTGATATGACTCTACTTATCTGAAACAGAGGAAATGAATAAACTTACTGTGTGGGCTGGGTCCTGACCCAGTCGATGCCCCTTTAGGGATGACAGGCATCAGGGCGTGCTGTATTGCCATCTCCCACATTCGTGCCACATCAATGCCAATACCACTGGTGATAACACTGTTATTCAGTGGAACACTTGAGAGGTTTTCTATGTTTTCTCCAACATAATAGACTATATTTGCTGTGCTTATTTCAAAACAATGAGGATTGGCTCCTTGAGGCAGTAAAGTGAAAGTTTTTGCAGGTTCCAGAGACAAAATTTCAGACAACGGGATTTCCTAAAATGAAAAAAATGTTTTATTTTCTGTGTAAAGATTATAAACATATAAAACTAAAGCATGATTTTTATTTAACTGATTTATTATATTAGATGTTGCTTTTAACCACATGCTACTTATACAAACAAAAAGGTTCTTGTAACCTGAAACTCCATGGCACAGAGGACTGCTGATGGTAAAATACTAAGTGTTTCTTTCCAAGTAGACCTTTACTTATTTAACGTAACTTATCAAAGACATGAGTGAGAAAAGAGAAGGACAATCCATATATCAACAGAACTCTGCTAGAAAATTAAACCTTGTTGACTCCCTATTTAATAAAATTTACTTGCAATGATTTGCAGAATAAATCTATTTAACATTAAGATTGCAAATCCACCTTTCACACAGGTATAAACTTGATTGCTTCATCTTGAATAACACTTAGGCCACATTTCACTGACATATTCTCCTGAGAGGAAGCCACATGAAAAAAATACTTTCCATTATTAAAACTTACTGCAGTAATGCCTAAGGAGTTGAACTGCCTCAGGTAAAAGGATATGAGTATTACAATAATCAAATTCACAACATTATGTCCAAAGGATAGAATTAAAACAATATATACTATACCTAATTGTTTGGAAAGAATTTGTATTATGAATGACAGAATGTCAGATGAGTTTCGTGCCAGAATTTCTTGATGGTACTGAATTGCACCTGTATAAAACCCTTCCATTTACACAACATACATTTTACACCTCCTTGTTAGCTGACACCTTTCTGATCTGACACTTGTTTGTGAAAGGCAAAACACACATATGCAGCTTAAATAATGAAAACAAACATAGATCAAAGTTATACTACTTTTAGTAAGTATCTATTAATCCAGCAATTCAATCATTATTTTCTGCTGGTACAAAAAGAGATCGAAAAATATTCCTTACTTTGTAATATTTGCTTCCAGTATCATTTTGAAAAAGTGTAATGCATTTGCTGTCCAGTCTCCAGTAGTGTCGTTTCCTCTGCAATGAAAAACAAGGGAAATGTTTTTCTAGCATTTTCCAAGTAAATTAATGAAATATTAATTTCTCAAAAGCATAATTTCCAAAATGTCTCACTTCAGTTTGAAGAGATGAATTGTGAATGATAAAGATCCATTTGCTATTACAAGATTTTTATGAGGACTTTATATTTAAATTTAGGATTTATGGGGCTACGCTCTGTTGTTTTGGTAATAACCTAGCTCTGTTCAAATTGTTCAAGATGTAAAAATTTAAAGCATCCCTTTGATGTCTGCATTACATCCATCACAACTTGCTACAGGTGTGCTGCTAAAACAATTAAACTTTCTTTTTGCATCAGTTATAACACCCCATCTCACTTTAGAAGTCCACATACTGAAGTCTTTATTCCTTTTCTAGTAGGTCAGAATTAAAATAATTTTTTTCTATGCTAACTCTATTTTACAAAACTCTCACTTCACCTAGCAGTAAGACATCTAGGAGACTGCAGCGGGAAGGTAAAGCTACTTTCCAGAACCCCAAAGGTGCTAATATTTTTTACTTCCTTCAGAATGTCTTCACCTTTGGCTGCCCATGTTAATGCAGCTGACACATTCAGATATTTTTTTTGTGTGTTTCAGCTGTCTCCTACTTCTTACAAGCAATGCCATTCCTCAGTTATGACAAGAGTCAGGACTTTAGGAATCACAAATACTGCAAAAAATGCCTTACACGAGTGACTGTAAATTCTCAAAGTATTGTTAGGATTTGATTCTGTACTATCATATAGTAGGTACAGTAAGACAGGTCTTCCTTTACATTCTTACCAGTGTGTCCTTGCTTGTATAGTGAACCATCCAACCCTCCTTCATTACTGTGCTACTTCTCCTTTTTGTGTGCTTCACAGATTGTACCACTCTCATTAATGGAATATTGTTGCTGGTTGAAGGGCTTAAGAATAAATCAATAAAGGCTTTTAAAAATAAGATAACTTTGGGCAAAACAAAAAAGTTTTTTAAATCAGAAAATAAATATATATATCACATCCACATTTATATTTATCGTCACTATCACATCTGAACTGGACAATATTTTGTTTTGTCATTGCAAGTATTTTGAGATTACAAAGAAAAAAAATTGTAATGCTACACTAGGAGAATGTCAGAGATCTTCTGAAGGCTTACATACATGTGCGTCTGCACACACACACACACGCACACACTGTCTCTCTCACAAAAATATTCCAAAAGATGAGCTAAGAGGATGGGCAAATGACTAGGGCCTCAACTAGGGTGTGGGAGCCATAGCTCAAGACTGTGCTATGCATGATTCAGACCAGTACTTGATCTTGAATCTCTCATAACCTACGTAAACACTGTCCATCAGATTACTGTCCTTTGATCTCTCCTGGGTTCAAACATACAGTGGAATTATGAGGGTTTACAGAGTAGAAAAAGTGTCAGTTGACTGGCTGCGCATACCCTGGCAGGGCATAGCAAGAGAATCTGCTGGAAGCTCTCACAGAAAGAGGCTTAAGGTAATATATTTTATCCTCAAAGACCTAAAGCAACATCCCATTGGCTTGCACTCTGGGGTACACATGCTGAAACTTTCCACGATTCAGCTGACACACAGTAAGTCGGGAAGGCATGGGAACTCGACAGTATGCCTGATAGCTCCATCAGATAAAATCTGGAATAGCTAGTTGGAGAGGTTTAAGAAGCCAAGCCCATCTTCCTACTTTCCTTGCTACTGAAGTTAACCATTCCTAGAGCAGATTCTGCATAATGGAATATGGACTCATAATCTGCTCAATCGTAACCCTAAATGCTCAGTTACTTCTGGCAGAACTTTAAATGGAGATGTTGCACTGTATGGGAAAACACAGCACAGAGAGCTCATGTGTTCTACCCTGCTGGCAAAGCTATTGGTGCTACTACTCCAATAACAAAGGGCAGAAACGGCCCAGGAAAATAATAAAATCTTAAGTTCCTACAGTTGTTCTGTCTGTGGATATCTGCAGATGGCCCTGCTTCACTGTAGTGCATCCTGGAAATAAAACATTTTGTTACTTGGTAGTTTCCAACTGAAATGCAAAACGTGTGCAGTCTTAAAGTCTCACTAAGACTGTTAACATAGAGTTAATATATCTTTTTTGCCTAAAAATGATCAAATAAGCTGCAGTCCTTACTTATATAAGTATTCCTGTCTGTACTGACAAGATACTCACTTTTTTATTTGCTTTCAATAGATCACTTAAAAATAATCCATGGACATGGAGGCTACCCTTACAAATGTATTACTGTATACATTACAAAAGTATTACTGGAAATACAGGGATGCCCCTCAACTAAGTAATACACGTACCTTGGTTACCAATGTTTTTATTAGTCATAATTGGGTATTTATACTTTGAAAACTTGCAATGTTGTCTGTTTAATGTACTTGGACATTTAAAATGTTATATGACACTGATTTTGTGATATAAGCACAGGCTGATATTCCAATGATACAAGGTGTCTATATATAGGATCTATGCACACGAATATGACAGTAGGAAAAACGGTTCACTGCCGCAGGAGGTAAAACTTCACGTTGTTGAAATGGACTGCTTTCTACCAGTGCAACAGGGATATGTTGGCAACAGAGAGCTAAGGGGCACGTGTAAACAGACTCCTAGTAAGCAAAACAAAAGAGGAAACTGGAGGTCAAACTGAGACCTCAGAAAGAAAAATATTCTATAATTCTTCAAGGTACAGACTCTTTGCATCAACGAAATTACAGCTCAAAGGACCTTAATTCATTTTAGGTTCCATGATAATGAATAATCCCAATTTTTTCCCCTACTAGTCTGTACAGTTCCAATAAGTGAATAATGCTTTCTTCTCTTCAGACATTTCCAAGGTAAGTTGCACAATTCAATTCCTATTTTCCTTCCTGATTAGTCATTTCAAACCACTAATCTATTTTGTAACATGCTTGAAACTACTGCTTCAAGTCTGTCAGACTTTCCTTCTTTCTAAAGGTGTCAAAAAAAGTAAACAATTAATCAATTAATCTACAGCTGATTATACTGCAGCTACTTATATGTTGTTTGGCATTTTTCATAGGTTTGGGGTTTTTTTTGGGGGGGGGTGTTTGGTTGGTTGGTTTGGTTTTTGTTGTTTTCTTTGTTCTGATTTGAGGTTTTTTTGGTTAAATTTAAATGACTAGGCATTGCACTTTTAGTCAGGGAAAAAATCCTTGGGAAAATACATTTCTAAAATTGTTCTCTATCTCTCCTTCACAAATAAAGTTTCACAAAGTCATGTTCATAAGAGAGTAGACCCGTAACAATTACTTGTGCATCAGTTTTCAGTTGCTACTTCAACTTGACAATAATTTTTAAGCTTCTCTGAAATTCCTAATGCATATATTCAGTGAAGCAATCTCACTGCAATTTCAGAACCACCAATCATTAGCTCTCTCCATTCTCACGGAGTGAAAATAGGGTCCATGTAGATTCCCCCTTTAGCCCTAGACATGATACTTACAAATAAATACAAAAGAAGATGGAATGTACACTCCCCAGCTTACCTGATCATCCTGTTAGACTCATCGTGATCTGGATCAGCATCCTGCATTTCCCCGATGTCACTATGGCATCCTGTCATTGACATCTCAGAATCATGAGCTATAGATTCTTCCATGTCATCTATAAAACCACTGTTTCTTTCACTGTCATTGTCATCACTCCCTTCTTCCATGACCACATCAGACTCAGCCCCAGGACTAAGAAGATCTGAAATATCATTTCTTAAGTCATTATGTGAAAACATACAATACTTCAATCACAACATCCTGACACTTTTTGAGCTTCAGAAAAACTCAGGTTCTCTTTGGGTCTAGCTATACTCAGCATGTACTGGTGAAGTGTGGTCTGTAACCAGACATTGAGAAAAATCACTGCAGAAAACTATAAATACTTTCAGAAACATAACTTTCTATTAAAAAATGCCAAAGTCAAGGCAGAATTTCTTATCCATGGACTTCTATCAAATACTCTACAATCATGAGATCTGGCAGATTTTCTATACAGCTTAAATGTTGTGCACTGGCTCGATGGCTGTTGGCAGGCTACAGCTCCAAATCGGTGCTAGAAGAGCAGTAATTTCAAAACTAGGAATTTTGTAATATGATGATGGCATGACAATGAACTACTGAAATACACACAAGACCATTACTTACAATGTGAACTATATTTGGGGGGAAAAAAGTTATTTCCTTTGCAACAGTGTTCTCTGAAGGCAGCATAATATAGCACAGTAATCCATACTAATGAAATAACACTATCTGCCTTTAGAAGAGAAATATTAAATAAATATTAAAAAGTCCAATGTAAGATAGCATAGAAAAAAATATGAAGACTTAGGATTTAAATTATTTGACCATGGCATAGTATTAATAGTATCTTCCAGCTTATATTTAAATTATGCTAAACTTTCCAATTTCAAGATTAGATCTGCCTAAGTAAGATGAAAGTAAGAAATAACTTTTTATTGTATCGCTGCTTGTGAATGATTTATCTGGAAGACAGAAAGGAAGAGAAAACTTTAAAGTTATTTACTTAAGGGCTTACTTTACAAAAATAAACAAACAAAAAAAACCCAACATAAAATTAAAAAGAAAAAAAAACCTACAAAAAAAGGCATTTTGTTGAAACTCAACCTGCTGGTATACAGACTGTGATCTAACCTGTCAAAATCATCAGTGCTATCAGACAGGAAAGACAGCAAGAGTTTTTCTGGGGTGTCTGTAGTGTTTCAGGCATTTGAAGTAAGGTAAAATCACTCAGAATACACCAGATATTCTCAATGAGAAACTTCCACCTAACTGTGTGGAGGAATGTTCTTGACAGTCAATGTACAGGATGCCCTAAAACAAAAAGCATGCTAAACTGGCTGACAGCAAAATGTTTTGAATTGACAGCACTTCACTCAAATTGGAAGTGCACAGCTGAAAGGTTTGTTTCCATGTAGCCTTAAAATGTCTGGATATAAGTTACTGATGTGTGATTAAGAGACACGTTACACTTCATCTCTAGCAGAAACAGTTATCCAGCATTAATGAAACTTTACAGTGCAAGGCTCTCTCTCTGTTATTCCTACAATACTTTTTTAATCTCTTTTTTGAATAAACCCACTATCAGTTAAAAATAACCTCCCACATTTAGTGTTTAATGTGTTTATTACTGAGACCATACTTGGAATTTTATTGCTTTAGCTCTTCCTTCACTTGCTATTTTGGGGAAGATGCATCACACAGCAGATGGACAGAGTGACAGATACTGAATTTATTTATTAAGTTTGAAAATAATGTGAAACAAATTATTGTAAAAATAGAAATGAGACACCAGTATGAAATTGCCTTTGATAATCCTATGGGCCCTATATCAGTCATTTAGGACGCACAACTAAGAATTCTATTGTGATGTTATGGATATTATTTGGTGGGGAAAGCCAAATTCTGTATGTTTTAAGATGGAGAGCTTCAAGTACACTTAGAGTAAGCTCAGAGTACGTGTTCTCACCCCAAGTGGCTTTGCACAAGCTTTCCTCACTCAGCTCTTCCTCAGACAAACCATTACTTCCCATCAGGCCAGCATCAGATTCATGTGTAGGAGGCAAGTCAACAAAAATAGTATGTTGCTTGTGGGGCAAAGGTGGAGAGAGGGCACAGCGGGTGTGTTGGAGGCATGAAATACAGCTGTTTCAGATGGAAAGAGGGAACTTCAAAATGAAATTCAGAAACAAATGCAAATTTTGTTCATTTAGTCCAGCTGTTCAGAAACAAGGCTTGCCTTCTTGTCTTCTCTTAGCACTTTTGATCAACCCTGTTTTGCACTCCTCTCTAAAACTGCACCTATGCAGGACAAATTTTATCATTTATAAGCAGACTTAGTTACTTTCTCTAACTGCAAATCTCAGGGAAAACTCTATACTGTTATCAATGGAATTAACGTATCATGGTGTATGTTTAGCTCTCAGATTTGAAAATCAAGCAATAAATTTCCATAAGCATTGTTACTTGCACTCCTGAAGAAATAGTTTATGTTATGGGGTGGTTAACGGATAAGTGAGCTACAAATGGTGTAAAGATTTTTTTTTTTAAAAAAAAGTCACTCCAAGGGTCCAGTGTGAGGTGCATCAGAGAGGAACATGCAGTAGAAGTGCAACATCAACCTTCCGGAAAATCATGCACCTTATCACGTTTCAAGCTGGATACTCAGCACGTGAAATATTTTTGCCTGCACTATTTGTAATTAAATAGAAAAACTTTGTAGTAATACAGTGACATTACTATGAGAAATACTATGAGAAGTGTTAGTTAACTAAATCAGTTTTGGAAATTCTTGATATCTCTTCAATCAGGTAGATCACTGATCTAAAGTTTGAAAAAGGGTACCTAATAAGGCAATACTTTATTAACCTCAGAAGCAGTTTAGGCTGACAACTTAACATGGTAATATGCATTAGAAACGGAACACTTTACCACGCTTCTCATTCCCTTATCACATAGAAAAGTGACATTTTCAAGGCAATCAACAATTCATCTACAACCACCCTTTTTTCCTCCATTCCCGTCTGTCAAGCCTACCCATACACTCCTATACTTGACACAAAACCGACAGCACATGTATGGGAAAATCGGCAGATATTCAAGCCTTTATTTCTGGCAACTGATCTGATTAGCTTTATGCCAACAGTAAATGGTGGAATTTTTTCCTGGAGGGCCTTTCCAGTTCTTCCAGGTATACTTTTCCTTTTCAAGAAGATTACCCTAAAACAAACATTCTCTCCCCCCCCCACCCCACCCCCAGATTAAAAAAGCAATTTTGTGCTTGTGTCTGACAGTACTTTTTTGCTTTACTCTGGCAGTCTGCATTCAACAGGCCATGATCACCTGGCCATTTTGCTGCCAACATCACCTCCATGGTACAGCTGAGCCTGTCAGTGCCAACTATTTGGAAGACACACACTCTGAGCTGATGGTGTATGAACCACTCGTAGGGTTCCTCCCACATTTAACCTTTGTACACATCATACACCTCACAGTTTTACATTTCTCTTTTATTTAACTGGTGGTTTAACCCATGAGGGAAACATTAAGGTAACTTACCGCCATTAATGGCAACTTCCCCCAGGCAGTTATTTGGCACTTTAGGAGCACAGCGTTTATGACAGTTGAACCTACAGTCTGTTAAGAAAAAAAGAGATATAGTAAAATTCTTTCTCTTTTTCTGTGACACAATTATATTTTTTCCTGCTATCCTGTCACAATGTCAAGCCCTATTATTTCACCAGTATAATGTTAACGTGTCCAGAGAGCGTTCCTTAGCCTGGCTGCACAACACCTGCCAGTGGAAGGGACACGATGAAGATGCCAGAAGCGTGTTTCCCTGAGGGGAAAGGAAAGCATCACCAAGGGCAGTTGGGTGGAAGCACTAGCTGCAGCCAAAGTCCAGGGGATGCTCAGCTCATCGAGGGGAGCAATCAGGAGACCTATGCGCTTGGCTGCAAAGCCAAAGCTGCTTTTTCAGTGAAAGAAGCAGATTGGGATGCACTATACAGGTTGGATATTAGGAAAAAGTTCTTCAATTATGAGGGTGGTGGATCATTGGAACAGGTTGCCCAGAGAGGTAGTGGAGGCGCCATCCCTGGAGATATTCAAGGTGAGGCTTGATGAGGCTCTGAGCAACCTGCTCTAGTAAAGATGTCCCTGCTTACTGCAGTGGGTTTGGATTAGATGACCTTTGAAGTTCCCTTCCAACCTGATACATTATATAATTCTATGATTCTATATCCACTGCAGCTTAAATGACTGACTGCAAATCAAATGCTGAAGACTAAAAATTGAACCAGCAGAACCCAGGCCAACAACTGAAAGTGAGAAAATATTTGTTCTTTACATGGCAAAGCAACTTCTAGACAGCTTTCAGTGGAAGGTTCCTTCAACACCTTTATTTTCTGGATATTTTTATTTCACTCTGCCTTTACTTTTTTTCTAACTGTAAGTAGCACTTTATTAGATGTCATCTGAACTGTTTTGTTTTGGCTTATAGAATACATTTTATAAAAACTAGTAGATGTAAGTTATTAACACACCTGGAAAAGCAAAGAGTCAGGAAGGAAGAATTATACTAAGGAAGTCTATAACCTTGTAATTATTTAACTTCAGACTGATCCAAAAACCACCTGAGGTACAGCAGTGCCAAACTGGTAATTTTTTTTTTTTTTTTAAATCAGGTTAACACTTGCTTATGTCACTAGTATTAAAAATGAACTGAAACAGGTGATGCCTTCATAGAGGTTTTGCTTTAGTTAAAACCACATCAGAATCACATCTTAAGTTAAAGGAATGCAACTTTGAATTTTTGCAAGGTGTTAGTTCAAAGAAGCAACACAAAGCATACTGATTCATTCTATTTTAGCTATTGTTTATTTTAATAGAAGGAAGGTGATTTTAAGGATCTGTTAGCTGATGTTATCTAACATCATAGCATGTACAATGCTTTGTATTCATGAGCCCTCTAGCTGGCTAAGGTGAGCCAGTACTCTAGGCTACAATCCAAAGGGCTGGATTCACTTTGGCACTTGTTAATGTACAACACCATGAGACTTGAGAGCACATTACTCACATTGAAAAAATGTGGTTTTAAATTCTCATATAAGCTCCTCTTATTTTATTTCCATTACAACTCCCCTAAAACCGTGAACTGCTGAGATTCAGGCACACGCTTCAATTCAAGCATATGATTTTGTAGACTGAAAACAATGAAGATAAGAATACAGCCCTTTCTGTTAACTATTCTGCTGTAACTGCCTGTGAGCACATGCTCACCTAGTGCCAAATACACGGTAATTTACACCTGAATGAAAAAGATGCGAACTACTGGAGATATACCACAGGGTAAGAATGAACAGCCATGCAGCCAGCTCCTGCAGAACAGCAATTACTGTAATTTTGACTCCAGTCTAATCTAATGTAATTGTACATGTGCCTACACCTAGACAGTTGAGTGAAGAAATCATGAGTAAGGCTACATAGAAACTACTCAAACATTAATTAATTAATTTTATTATGCTTAGCTTTTATATTCCTAAGGGGTGTTTACTTACCTTTGCACTGCAGACCCTGTCTAAAAAGCCCTTTGAGAAGCTTCTTACAGTACTGGCATACTGTTGGCCTTGTGTAAGAGTGGATGACAAAAGTGTGAGGCACTTTAACCTTGGACAGTAAGATCTTGTCTAGCTGGATAGGTCGTCCAATGTAGGACTGTGAATTTGATCTCTTCTCTCGCCCAGTGAATGATTCTGATGGTGTCTTTTGCTGTGAAATACATAGAAAGAAAAGTGAAATATTCACGACGTGTTAATTTTTAAAAGAATATCATAATCACATATACTTATATCAAGAACAGTAAGTCATATGTCATAGAAAGTAATGTTAAGTGCTTTGAAACACTAATAGAACATGCAACATACCCTCTCTCAGACTGCTTTTGAAAAATTGGAATGGCATCAAGCAGTATCTTTGCCAACACTACTACCATACATCTCACATTGTGGCTGAAACAGGTTTCTATTTTAAAAAATAGTATTTTTTTTAAAGTAAAAATGAAAATATTCACTAAAGATTTCTCAGAAAAGCATTTCATGTTCTGATAAAAACATAAGCCATTTTTACCTCTCTTATTTTCTGTTTCATATCAAAGGTAACTTTGAAAGGCTGTATTTTTTGTACAAACGTTAAGAAAATTATTCCCTTATTCTATGTGCATGCAGGTTTTCAATAGAAAACAGATTAGTATTTTCCATCCCCTTTATTTATAATTTTTGCTATTGCTAACCTTACCACATCTAGATTGTGCACAATAGATCACAACAGGTATTTAAATGCATATATATAAATATGTATACAGTGAGAAACACAGTATAAGCTATGTAACCAAAAGAATTCCTGAAATAAATTAGTCCAGGCTTTGCCTTCATAGTGTACTTGTCATAGGAGGGAAAAAAAAAAGTTTCTTCCTTCCAAAGATCAGATAGGTTTCTTACTGTGAAGACCAAAATTTTTCTTTTCGTTGGGTTGCAGAACTATCTGTCTTTCCAAAGATGCACACGCAATAGATTTGCTGCACATCAGAGCTATCCTGCTAATTGACAACAATGTCAACATCCCATGCTTATCCACTTTATAAATGCAAACCTGTCAAATCAAGGAGATATATGCAAAATACATTGTATGAGCCAGGTACATGTGGTCACCAGAAACAAACTAGATTGAAACAAGTATAAGAAAGCATCTGTCTTTTATTCATCACAAATAATAACAGAAAAAATGAATACACACATTGATATTAAGTGTTTACTTTCCGAGTTTTAGATCTTCATGCTCTGTAAAGCACTCATGCATATGAGAAAAAACAAACAAACAAAACAAAAAAAACCCCAAACCAACAACAAAACCAAAACCCCAAGCTAATTTCAGTTTAGGAATATTTTTTTTTTTTAATATTTGTTAGTTAGCAGTGTTGCTTACCTCATATTCCCAAGGCACATTGCATCAAGTCTTATGACCAGGGCTTTGGAAGGGAGGGCAGAAGCCCCCAGGAAGGAAAGAATGAACTCATACATGACAATCTTCCTCTTGTCTGAAGTACCAGTGACCCAACTGTCTCCTAACAGTATGATCTCTCTTAGAACCCTCTGTAATACCACCTAAACTAAATCTACTTTGTATTGTCATTCCTTGCCTTTATTTTCCAAATTATTGTCAAATAAAAAATTATTTTGGCAACTGAATACTGCTAAAAGCTTTATTAAAGTCCAAATTACTTAGATCTAGTTAACCTCATGCTCAAAGGATTTCAGAAAGCTGATGTGGCCCAGTTTTTCTCACCAAATGCCTTGCAGGTTTTAGAAACATCAGTAGCATTGCTGAAATGACTTAGGCACTTAAATGACTAACAGAGAGAGACAGGCTTCCCTACAGCTTTGGCTCTGACAACTGAGATGCGCTGCCTAGATGATGTCTGATCAAATCTCAGGTGTGGTACAGCATGAGTGTGGGAAAAATTATTTGCTATATTTTTTGATCTTTCAGTTTGATGGCAAGTTTTTCAGTTTTAATGTGCTAGTACATGCTTCTGAGAAAACATCAGGTTGGAATTCTATATGCTCTACATTGATTCGATCCTTTCTGAAAAATAACTGCAACAGTCACTCATTGCACCACCAGCTTTTGTATTGCTGTTCATTAAACCTGTTTCTCGAAACTTCTATCAGACAACACACAGTTATAATTTTTGAAGGTTTTACTTCAAGTCTCGCTTCACATTTTTGCAAACAACTACATTTTTGCTAGTAATTTATAAATGTTCGCTACAGTTCAAGTGGTAATGGATGCTAAACAAAAGACTTACCATTTTGGAAGACCTACTGCAGAATGCCAGTCTTCAAGATTGGTCCCTACTTTACTTTTTAAACATTATATTAATATTCAAAGTGCTGCTTATATTTCTGTTAAAAATAATATCCTGTGAATGAATAACAAGCTCACTAACAAATGAACACAGTTTCACCACTTTTGCCTCAAAACAAGTGAAAGGAAATAGGTAGGCCTAAACTCACTCAAACAGATTATTTGTAGACAATATCTGTCAGCTTTTTCTATTTACAGAAAAAGTATTTCAGCTTTTCTTTGCCACTCTGCAAGCACTGGGCTGCTATGCAATAGCAGCATAGCACACTGTGTAATGTGCTACACGAGCAATTCTTAATTTACCTTCCCTCTTCCAGCCAGAGGCAATGTGACTCTTGGCTTCTGCTCAGAGGTAGCAAGGGGGGAGAAGCTGGTGACAGAGAACTCATGGCAAGAGCAGCCAGAGCGGTCACTCCCCACCCCTCTGATGACTGGCTGATTAGGAGGAGGAATACCTCCTCTCTTTTGTCAACGATGAACGTCTCTTCTCAACTTCCAAAACTCTTGTCAATATCCCTTGACTCTAACTTCCAGCACACCCAGCATCAGACAGATCCCACAATTTAAAGTCCCTGAAAGAAAAGGAAACCGGGAACTGCCCTATTTTCACTGCAAAAGCAAGAATCTCTTCACAAAGCACCTTCTTCTTTGGCTGGTGCATCTGGTTTGTTAGAAAGATAAATTAGTTTTTCCTGGTAGTCAGCCAGACTACTGACTCAGCAAATCTGGAAACTTCCCAGGAAATGATTGCTTAACTGTATTACACCATGGAAATTAACAGCCTACGCGGCTCCAAACACTAAACAGTCCTTTAGAACAATCATCCCAGTAAGCTAATCTATACTTTTAACAGCTCAGAATATGATTTTACAAGTGACAACAAACATAAACATGCAGATATTTAACTGAATGAATGTGCAACCAAGCCAGTGACACCGACCACATCGAGAGACTTCAATTCAATTATGCCTTAAAGTATGAGAATATCTAATAGAATGCAATGTTTGCTTCCTCTTTTATTTTGAACTTTTTTTTTTTTTTAAAATTCCAAGAAGGGAGAGGTGCCAAGCTTTTCCCCAACACTGGACATTCTGCATGACTCTTACTAGCTGATGCCTTACCCCTCCTTCTTGTTAAATTTCTTCAAATTTTTGCAATGTACTGAAGCTACTCATGGTTTATCTGGTGAGCTTTGTTAAAAGCTCTTGAAGGACAAAACAATTTGTCTATAGAAGCCAGAAGCACAAAGTAATTGTGCAGAACCCTGGCACTGCAGGAAGGAGAAGGTCCTCCACGTAACTGCTACCTCAAAGGTCAAAACCCCTCAAGCAGGAGATACCTTCTGTCTGTCTTTTTACGCTGTCCAAATCCACTGCAAAATACAATTAAGAGACTGAAATAAATACTGATTTCCTGTCAATGGATTCAGCTGTTCACATTACCTATGTGAGTTTGACTGTCTTCTAAGCACCACATCTCCCACTTTCAGGCACAGAAATCAAATAAACTTTAGGAAGATGCTGAAGGAACTAATGGGAAGCAATAAAAGCTGACTGACTGGCTGCAGAGGTGGCCTCTTGGGAACAAAGACAGGGAACAGTCCTGCAATCCAGCTGCACAGGCTAACCTAAAACATAAACCAGATTGCTGTTGGCCTGACTTCTTTTAAAAGGTTTTAACAGTCCCAGGGATTCTGACAAAACTTTGCTGAAGAGCTTCATGTCTAGAAGAGTTAGAAAATAAATACTTAAATTTTGACATTTGATTATCTTACTTTAAATTATGCCTGAGGAAACACATTAGAGTCTGTAATCTTCCCTGAGAAGAGAACAGGCTACACATCCTACACTGTTCACAAAGAAGTGCTAACCTTTTGCAGGCTCAATATCTAAAAAGTGCTGTGACATTATTCCTGTACTTTACACTGAGATATTAAATCAGAAATTACACAAGTATTTGTACATTTATGAAGTACATGTTTGGCTTAACCAAAGAAAAATGCCAAAACAAATTATCATGAGCTTTTAAAAAAAAAAAATTAATTGGACAATTGAGAAAAGTGATGTATATTAAAAAAAAACAAACAAAAAACCAAACAGCAATAACTATCTGCATGAAGTTTCTTTTTCAGTGTTGAAGCATTTCCTTCCTATATTGAAGGCAGAGGATAAAGCCTTAATATGTTCACGTACAATTTCTTCACAGGAAGCTACTGTCAAATGAGGTGCAAGATATCTATGTAACCACAGGAACTACTGTGTTTTTAATGCAATGCAAATGTTGACTTTCTTTTACAAATTAAACTATGAGACTGCAATTAAGTGAATTCAAGGAAACAAATCTTCAGTTAAATATACTGAAATGCCACACTTCGAATGTAATCAACTGTGTTGTCTTTCAAGGCTTCTTGCACTCTTTAAGTCAAGTGCATGATTTAAACCTATAAGCACCATAGTTAGATAGCTATGGTCTGAAAAACACTTCAGTGTTATATGTGTAAACACATCGAAGAACTCACTTCAGTACAAGCTGTTAATATTAAACTATCCACAGATGGAAATTATTATGTACCCTGTTCCTCCATTCAGACATCAATACCAGCAAACAGTGGTTTGAATGTTCTGTCTGTAACCTGCCTTATTTTGTAAAGTAATAAGAGAAGATTACTGGGTTTCAGCAGTAGTTGTGCGACTATACTGACTTCTCAGAGTCAGGGATTTCGCAAAACAAAAGCCCTTTGCTGACAAAAGATTTGCAAGTGACAGCAGGCATAGTAGGGCTTATGCAGCACAAAGCTTTCTTCCTGCATCTTACAGATGCAAGTTCCTTCAAAATATTAGGTTTTGCTTGACATTCTATTATGTGCTTCATGATTTTAAGTATAATAATTTTAAGTAATAAATTATTTTCATGTAAGTCACTTGCACTACTAGAATGCCCACACCATAAGCAGCTCAACTGCACCTACTGCAAAGAACTAACAAAAAAGGAAAAAAAGCACACACCATGATACAAAGGTGGCACAGCCAAGTTATAATTCAAGACAAAACCCTTCAGGGAACAATTCTGGTTCACGCTATCACATGTGAATATTGCATTTTTGTTTTTATCTGTGCAAATCAAATGCATCCCATCTGACACCGTCTCCACACCATTCTTACTAAATCACTGATAACCAGTAGGCCTTTGGGCTTAATGAACAGCCACTGCTTTGGAAAAAGATTTGGCAATGGGCAGAGGAAGTCAAGACAAACCAGCCGGGAGAGGCTTGGCTAAAGGGAGGGACAGTAGGATGTTACAATTCACAAAAACAAGGGACAACAACACTGACCATGTTTGGGCCAGGTAAGTGGAGATAAAGGGTTGCATCGATTGCCTCTATTCCGCAGAATACACATCGCACATGAGGACTGTATCATTTCAGAGGACCCAGCGCCAACATGAATGATGTTTCAGAGATGCTATAGGAAAGTAAAATGTGTGTTGAAGGGTTTGACACTTTGGTATGTGCAAACCCTTGTGTCAGTACTTAGAAACCACAAAACTTAGCTCTGAGTGTACGTTTGCTTAGATGTGTCATGCACTCTTGAAGAATTCCTTCTGCCACAGTTGCAGAGCAGTTTAAGTCGTGGAGGCTTATATGGAGGATGATAGTCTGACAACTATTATTGTACGTCTTTCCTAAAAACAAAATAGGAGATTTAAGAGCAAGTGGCAAGTATCTCGGGACAAGAACAACCTGAACCTCTCTCCTGTTCCAAGCTGAAGACTCAAATACCCATAAAACCTCTTGAAGGGATCACAAGTCGTACTCAAAAACACCATCAGATGTGGCACGTATGAAATTTCAGGACATGTACATCTTAATCAGTTTACCATTTTCTCTTCTACCTGTATTCCTTGATATTTGGAAAATATTAGGTGCAAAACTGATGCAAAATTTAACACTTTCCTAAATATACCTCTTTTAACTTAAAATAATTGGCTTGATCATCTTTTAGGTCTCATCTAGCTGTGATGAACTTATGAAACAATTGTATATGGGCAAATTAGCTCTAAGAAAAGCTCTAATGTAGTTTGAATTAGTCACAAGAAAATCAGTCCTACAGTATTTAGTACATGGCAGCTAGTATAAGTACTACTATTATTTCATGGCACAGCAGTGTATGAGGTAGGTCACTCCAAATTTACTTTGTGTACCCTAAAACGTTTTAATTCAGGCTTCAGTTGGACTTTAAGTGTCACAGACATGCAATGCTTTAAGAAAAAAGGGAATTACATTTTTAATAGTTTTCATTGAATTGTTTTTACCTTTAGTATGTTTTAATATTTTAAATAATTGTAGAAAAGCAAGAAAACAAAAAAATGATACCTAAAATACTGTGGAATTAAATTAAATTCCTGTTTAAATATTTAACTTTCAGTGTCAGATTCACTGAGTTCATGATTCTCAGTTCTGTTCAGTGCATGACCCTAGACTCACCTGGTGAATCTGGTACTAAATCCATGTAAATACTACTTACGGCTGGTTTAGTTCACAGCCTATATTTCACACTTTATTATTTTTAAATAACATTTAGATTTTGGACCCCAAAAAATTTCCAGGAGCACTCCCCAAAATAGCTTAGTGATTTTTTATTAAACAAATAAGCACACTGAAAACAAGTTCCTATAAGACAGAGAGGAATGTGTGATGTACATCACTGCAGCACAGCAGGATAGCCTAGGAGTGACAAGAACAGAAAACAACTGAGTGTGTATTGGGTTTGCGTGGCAAGGTTTTGGTAGTGGGGGTGCATAGGGTGGCTTCTGTAAGAAGTTGCCAGAAGCTTCGCCCATCTCCAACACAGCCAATGCCAGCCGGCTCCAAGGTGGACCCACCGCTGACCAAGACCAAGCTCATCAGTAACACCTCTGTGATAACATA